GGCCTGAGCCCAGGCAGCCCAGGCAACTCCACTGTGGTCAGAAAGGAATGTTAGAAATGAGCCCAGAGGCAAATAAAAAACTTCCAAGGTTGTAATTTCAAGGGGAAAACAGCAGGTGGCCTGTGCAGAGGGGTCCTCTGGGTTTTAGGGCTGGTCTTTTATTCAGAAGAGAGGAAAGGAAGGCCGGGGGAGGGAAAAGAAAGAGAAGGCTGGGGATGCTCTCCTGGCCCTGAGCCTGCCCTGGGACCCCAATCAGACATCCAGGTCTACCCATGGAATGTCAGACCCAGAAGGATTTCAGAGCCAAACCTTCCAGGCAGGATTTCTGGTAAAGCCTGGACACAGGCCCAGATTGGTCAGGCCCTCTCCTAGGGCACCCAGATCATTCAGGCAAAACCTGGGCCCAGGGATCCTTGCATTCCAGGCACACTCTCCTGGGATAACCTTGCCTCTCTGTGCCCCAGCCGGACAAGCTCCAAACCTGGCCCCGTTTGCAGTCTCACAGGCACCCCCGTGACTGGAGGTGGCAGCAAGGTGCCAGGCCATTCCTCCCCCAACCTCCCACTCCAATCTGATCTCCACCAGCAGCCAGATGGAGATTTTAAAGCGCTAACCCGCTCAGGGCACTCTCCAGCTTAAACGTGCTGGCTGCAGGACAAGGTATAGCTCCTTGGAGGACCCACAGGGACCCCATGATCTGCTGGCCTCTCTAGCCTCACCCAGGCATTCCATACTTCCTAGAGTTCCCCAGATGGTTCCCTCTTTCCTGCCTCAGGCCTTAGCACATACTCTTTCCTTTGCCTGGAATGCCCTACTGTCCTCTGCTTCACCAGGTCACAGCTTGGGCATCAGCTGCTCAAGGCAGCCTTTGCTGCCCCCCTGCCCCAATGTCTATGCCTCTTCCAGTTCTAATCTCGTGGCGGGGGGGAGGTCAAGGCAGTGCTGTGTTTATCGCTGCATCACACTCATGGTTCAACACCTACATACTGCAGATGACTCGATAAATGCTGGGCATGAATGTCCTGGATGGAGAGACTTACAGTGGCCTAGGGGTGGATCTGGGCTTAGCAGAGAGCAAAGAGGCACATGCTCAGAGGCTGTTCAATATTAAAGCTCAGAGGCCAGCCATGCAGCAGGGGGTGGGAGGAGCAGTGAACCACTGATGATAATAGATCTGATCCATGCCTGGCACACCCACAACTCTCACTCAGTCCAACAGTGCTGAGGTAGGATTAACATTCCCATTTTACAGATGAGGCAAGGAAGCTCCAGGACATTAAATAGTGAGCCAAGACCCACACAGCAAAGGCACCTAAAGGATCAGAAGTTAGGCAGCTGAAGGAAAGGGGGAGAGAGAGCACTCTGCTCCGGCTAATTCCACAATTCAGGTTCTCTTCTTTGTATCCACCCCAGCCTAGCAAAACCTTCATTTCAGGGTCAGAGGCTTGTCCAAAGTCACAAGGTCTGAACGAGGCATCCTGAGCCTTGGTCTAGTGCTAAGGTCACCTTGCCCCAGTTGGGGCTCCCATCACTACCCCTAGCCAAACCCCGCCCACAGCATCTGAACACCCAGCCAGAGCAGGGGAGGGAGGATGCGGCTAGGATACCCATGCAGGTTTACACTGGAATCCTGTCTCTTATGGATTCAGTTTTCCCTTCTGAAAAACGGACAGAACCACTCTGCCTAATAGAAACTGAACCATTTGCAAAAATATCTTGGGATAAAATTTTTAAAAAGTCAAAGAGAAATTATTTAGCCCTATTGCCAGCTGAAAGTCCTACCAAGGTCTCACCCAGAACCACCTACTTACTCCCTGCCTCCCACCCCATTATAGCCTCCTAACACCACTTGTGATAAAAGGAGCCCAAGCTTTGCTCCTGTCCCTGACTCATAATATTACTCCTCTACATTCCCCCATAATCTTCTAGGCCTCTATCAGCTAGCTCCCTGAGTTTCAATCACAGAGAATTTTCTGAGACTTACTTGCTCCCATTACTTTTAAAATTCCCCACAACATCCCTAGAGAAGGATGGCAAATACATATCCATCCCATCAATTACTGATAACTGTCTGGGAGCACTGTATTGAGGAGGATTCTGAGGTTCTGTCTCAAATGAGCAGGAAAGAGCAGTGATTCATTAGTAACATTTGCCATGGGCTCGGGAGAGGAAGTGTCAGTACACACTCCATGTGTTTGTCATTCCCACTCTGCATCTCCCTTGACTATCGGCTCTCAGAAAGTGGAGGCTGAGCCTTAACTCTGTGTCCCATATGGTGTTCGGCATAGCATCCAGCCTAGAGTAGGAATTTAGTGAATGTTTGTTCTTGAAAGTTCTCCTTGGTATCTAGCTAAAATATATCTTGCTGCAGTAGAAGCCTGTTCTTGCTGAGGGGATCTAGCCAAGATTCCCACTGTGTTTGTACACAACCCCAACCTTGGTCCGGTCCCCACTGCCCTGCGCGCTGAGAGGAGCTGGATTCTCACCGGGGTGGTGGAGTGGGGGGAGCCAGAGGGTAAGGCCTGTCGAACATGTGCATGTGGTAGGCTGGCGGGGAGTACACAGGCGGGGGCTCTTCATCCGAGCTATCAGGTTCCAAAGTCCTTTCCAAGATCTGTATCAGAGAGAATAAAGAAAGAAATATTAACAACCCTTCCTCAAACTTGAATAACATTTACACAAATCCAGTGTGGGCAAATGTAAATTGTTACAACCACAACTTTGCAAAAACAGTCTGGCTTTACATACTGAAGCTAAACTCACAGCTGCCCCTGACCCTACAATTCCAACATACTCAACAGACAAGAAAACACACGTCCCCAAAAGAATGTTCAGAGCAGCATTATCTGCCCAAGTACAGCTCAGAAACAAGCAAAGCAAATCACCGTAATAGAAGTCAGAGCAGCGTGACCTCTGGGAGGCTGGGGAAGGCAGGGAGGGTCATGAGGGGGATTCCAGGTTCCTTTGATGTTTCTTGATCTGGCTGCTGGTGAAACGTCACTGAGCTGCACACTTAGGATTTGTGGACTCTTCTATACACGTTTATCATTGATAACTAACATCATCCACACCCTTTCTCAAAGTACTTCCACATGGCTTATCTCGCCTTAACCTCAAACAACTTGGCAAGATAGGGTATGGATTGTTGCCCCATTTTACAGATAAGGAAACTGAGACCTAGGGTGACTAAGTGACATGGCAAAAGCCACACTGTTTTTAGAACTAAATCTCAACATGAACAGGGGCTCTGCAGCAAGGGTCCCTCCTTCAGTCACAATACCTCATTCCCAGGGTGGATTTTCAGGGTGGAAAGTGACAAGGGGAGTGCCTCTCCCTCCCAGACTCCTCCCTTCATCCAGAAGCCAAAAAGAGGGGCAAGGAGAGGCCAAGGGCTGGGCAAAGGCCGGAGTTCCTGCTACATTGACTAACCTGGACCCTTCCCCAAAGGCCCATAGAGGAGTCTAGGACAAGAAGCAGCCACCAACCAGGAGACCCCAGGACACACCACTCCAACTGGCCTATACCTTAGCCTCCTGCTCCCCTCTCCTCTCCTCCCCAGCTCTGTTCCCATCTCCTCTGAGACCGAAGAACATGGGAAGGGCTCAGAGGCTATCAGTCAGCCCCAGAGTCCCCAGGCCCCACGTTTTAACCGCAAGTGAGTTTGAAGAAGTCACTGCTAAATTGACTCTGCAAGCCTGGGCTGGGCCGGGCTGCCCTGGCACATCCCTGCTCTGAGCCCAGCCGTGCCCAGGCACCAAGAGTCTCCCAGGGACACCTGGCAGATGGGCAGGTGGTGAGTGAGCATGCACACATAAACACACACACACACACACACACACACGCTCTGTGCATACACAGCCAGCATGACCCAAGGAGACCTCCCGCCCTGGAATGCACTAACGTTCTTTCCTTTGAGGCAGAAAGTATTTAAACAGATGCTTTTGCAGAAAAAGAAGAACGTAGCTGCTTTGCAGGCCGCTACTCTGCCTACTCCAAATTTCCACAGGAAGAAAAAAAGAGAGAACACTGTGAGCTCCATTCCTGTTCATGGGTGAACCCCCAGTGCCTGGCACAGGACAGCAGCTCAGCAACTACCTGGCACATCTAGAGATCATGCTGCTGCTGTCCCCCAGCCCACATTCCCGGCTCCCCAGCCCCTGCTGTTCCGAGGGACAGGGTTCCAGGCTGAGGCCTTGAGGCCAACTTCTGGAGGCTGAGCCTCTCCTCCCTCAGTGGCCCATCTGGTCTGTCCCTAGAGAGGTTGGTCAGAGTGAGATGGGTGAGGAAGGGAGAGCTCAGTGGGAATCGTTCCCAGAAGGAAACTGCTTGGGGTTTCCTATGACTGGCCTAGCAGCTGGCCCCCCACATTCAGGGGGATCAGGCCTTCACAACTGCACTAGGAGGGCCCCTCATTTCTCAGCCGTTCCTGCGCCTCAGTGCGGCCTCCTGGGGCTGCGAGAATCAGACATTTAGGAAACGCCAAGGAGGCAGGCTGTGGGCCAGGCACGCTCCGGAAAGGCTGATCCCCAGCCTCCGGGGAGAGTAACCCCAGCCATGTTTCTGCCTCCCCCTGCCTCTCTCCCCCCAGCCCCACCAGCCACAATGAGGTTGTTCTTCTGGCTCTAAAGGTGTTGAAGCTTTCGGCTCTGTGGCCTCCTGGCTTAATTCAGTGTGGGTGATGGATGCCTGCCAGGTGCTCTAAGGGTCAGGGTCTGGCCATTTATCTGACAGAAGATGTTTCTCTGTGGCAAGGGTACCCCTCGGGCCAGCCCACCATCCATCAGCCCCCAGAGAGGGGGCTTTTTCCAGTCAGCAGTTATTGTCATTCCAGCTGCTGCTCATAAATTTTCCGAAGCCCTTTCCGCTGGCTCAGGAACTGCCTGCCGATGGGCCCCGGCAGAGCTCCAAACGTGGGGGGTTGGGGAAACAGCCCAGGAGGGTTGCTGAGAAGCCGCTCGATCTCGAAAGCAAGATTCTGAGGAAAACAGAAGCATACACAGTGCAGCCTATCTACGGGATGCTGAAGGCTTGCAGAGTCCACGGAGCTGTAGGTGCCATGGACAAAGGATACATCTGCAAACACACATGTGTGTGCATGCGCGCGCGCGCACACACACACACTTATATATACACTCACCCCTCTTTTTAACAAAGAAAATCTCGATTTTCCAATGCTCCCTCCACTTGCTAATCCAGGCAGGTCAAAGGAGGGTCTCCAGGGGAAAGAGACTAAAGAAAACTGTGTAAAGACAGCAGCAACATTTATTTATCCAATAATATTCCCTGAGTGCCTGCTATGTGCCAGGACTGTGCTGGATGCTGCAGGTGACACTGGGATGAGCCAGATGTCATTGCCCACAGAGCTTCTCCTCTAGCTGGAGAGAGAAATCCCAGGCAGCACCCACTACGGAGGAAGACCAAGCGGGCTTCGCCCCGCAGGATGGCTCTGACTGATGCGCAGTGGCTGCCTGCAGGGCTGTGTTGAATAGAACTCTGAGGCCATATCTGGGTCTAAGTCTTCTCACTGTAAACGAGGGTAATAATTACACCACCTCACAAAGTGTGTAAGGACTAGAAGAGAGGAGGCATCTAAAGCATCAACACGATAGGCCCGGTGGAGACTGGAAGGCCAAATGTCTACTGAACTCTTGGATGGGGCCAGGGAGGCTGGCCACGCCCAGCAGGTGGGCCTTGATGCAGTGGGGTGGTCTCATCTCCCCCGCCCACCTCCCCGGAGTGAGGAGAGAAGGGCGTGGGTATCTATCGCTCATACGGCCTCCATCATGCCCCAGTCAGAGGGAGTCTGAGGTCATTCCTCTTCCATGGCTCCCTATGCTCTAGGGGCCCAGCGTCAACCTCCCGGCCTCCACTCCTTCTAGGATCCTGACAGATGGTCCTGCTGGCAGTTCCCCAGTGACTCACGCTCTAGTTCACGTCTGAGCTTCTGCACAAGCTGCTCCCTCTGCCTGCATACCTTTGCCTTCATTCTTTATTCTTTGGGTCTCAGCTTAGCCATCCCCTCCTCCGGGAAGCCATGCCCTCCTGTCCTGCTTCCGTTTCCCCCACCATAGCACTCACCACTCGGGCTGTCTTTGCCTGACTCTTGTCCCTGTTCTCTGTGAACACTGTGAGGAAAGAAACTTTGACTTGACCAAGGCGGATAGCCAGAGGTTCAAGAGTAGCATTTCTTGAAAAATACAGACTAGAGGGCTCCAGCCTGGATGGCCATTCGCTGTGCTGGATGGGGCCCAGGCGTCTGCATTTTTAAGAAGCTCCTTGAGCCCGGCCGGGCGTGGCTCAGCGGTTAAGCTTGACCTAGGATCCAGGCGATCGGGGTTCGATTCCCAGTCAGAGCGAATGCCCAGGTTGTGGGCTGCAGCCGATCAATGACTCTCTCATCATTGATGTTTCTAGCTCTCTCTCTCCCTCTCCTTTCCTCTCTCTGAAATCAAGAAAGATATATTTAAAAAAAAAAAAGAAGCTCCTTGATTCTGATGACCTCTGACCTGGGGTCTAGTACCATGCCTGGCAGACCACTGAGTGGGTGCTCGGTGCTTGCTGAACAACCGCATGATTTCTGCAGGACAAATAAGGCCACTAACTGACTGGGGTACCGTTTCACTAGGAGAAATGAGGCTGCTCGGGAGTTAGAAGGCAGGCAGGGGTACAACCCAAATCCGCTAAGGTTCAAACAGCGCTGGAGTCCCCGTGCGTTGCCAGGGCCGCCCCTACCTCGGGGGGGATGCTGTCCTCCGAGTCCGAGCTGTCCTCGTAGACGCTGCCGCCACCCGCCTCCAGGTTCATCTGCAGCAGCTGGTCGATGGTGGCGTCCACGGCGCCGCTGTTGGCGCGCAGCACGCACTCGATGATATCGTAATCCATGTTGGGGAACATGGTCTTGAAGTCGTCCATGGCCTGGTTGAACTCGAGGCGGCGCACCTGGCGGGCGGGCCGGCTGTTGTTGAGCTCCTGCGACGCGGCCNAAAAAAGAAGCTCCTTGATTCTGATGACCTCTGACCTGGGGTCTAGTACCATGCCTGGCAGACCACTGAGTGGGTGCTCGGTGCTTGCTGAACAACCGCATGATTTCTGCAGGACAAATAAGGCCACTAACTGACTGGGGTACCGTTTCACTAGGAGAAATGAGGCTGCTCGGGAGTTAGAAGGCAGGCAGGGGTACAACCCAAATCCGCTAAGGTTCAAACAGCGCTGGAGTCCCCGTGCGTTGCCAGGGCCGCCCCTACCTCGGGGGGGATGCTGTCCTCCGAGTCCGAGCTGTCCTCGTAGACGCTGCCGCCACCCGCCTCCAGGTTCATCTGCAGCAGCTGGTCGATGGTGGCGTCCACGGCGCCGCTGTTGGCGCGCAGCACGCACTCGATGATATCGTAATCCATGTTGGGGAACATGGTCTTGAAGTCGTCCATGGCCTGGTTGAACTCGAGGCGGCGCACCTGGCGGGCGGGCCGGCTGTTGTTGAGCTCCTGCGACGCG